GCGCTGCCCGGCTTCCTGATACAGGAAGTACTCGTGCTAGGTATTGGAGCATTTGGGCAAGTACGAGTACTCACCCAAATACTTGGTATCGGCACCTATAGCGATACTAGTATCGGTATCGGTGCATCCCTACAAAAAATATATTTTTTTTTTAAAAAGGTAAATTAAAACACAAAAATAAGTTTAAAAAAAAAATAAAAAGTTAAATAAACTAACATTAAAATGAAAAAAAAAGTTAAAGTCCTCAGCCCCCGCGACCGTGCACATTTAACAAAAATAAATCCATAACCTGGCTCCAAACTTTTCTAGCTGGCTCCCAGTTTCACAGAGAATTTGTCAAGCCCTGCCTTGAGACCCCATTCACACGTAGCGACATACCTTTTGCAGCGGATCCGCACGGCCGGGATAGCGCGACTTTCCAGCGACGATAGCGCGACCTTCTCCGTCGGGCTCCATAGAAAAAAGGCAAAATCGTGCAAAATCCGCCGAAAAAAGGGTCCGGTAGAAGCGACTTGCAACCGCGACGAGCGACATGGAGTTAAGACAGCTCCATTGAATAGCATTGGCTGGCGACTTCTCGCGATATCGCGCGGCAAAAATGCACGATATCGCGGCGGAAATCGCGAGATAATTCGCTACATGTGAACGGGGCCTAAGGCCCCATTCACACTGAGTGAGTTATCGAGCGATTTTTGCAGCGATATCGCTCATATTTCCACGCGATATCGCTCTATGTAGCTTCTCCAATCCATTTCAATGGAGCTGTTCACATCTCGTCGCTCAATATCGCTTGTAGCTCGTTGCTGGTAGCTTGTCGCTCCTACATGACCCTTTTTTCGAGCGATTTTGAGCGATATTGCTCCTGATTGCATACAGCCCAATAGGAAAAAGTCGCGCGACAAGTCGCTCAATATCGCTCGTCGCGCAATATCGCTCAAAATCGCGCGATTTTCATGTCGCTCAGTGTGAATGGGGCCTAAGACTGTAAGCTCCTCTGAGGGCAGGGACTGATGTGAACGTGCGCTGTGTCAAGTGCTGAGTAAATTGTCAGCGCTATATATATACCTGTAATAAATAAATACATTTATTTTTACATGCAACAAGCGCCACAATGCGTGAGGCGAGCACCACTGAATATAATGGCATTCTTCATGTGGAGCTTTCTTTCACTTCAGTAACACAGGGCAAACTACTCAGGTATAATGAGGGTTATAACATGCCCTGTACAACCTATGCTAGAAATGGGGTCTGAGAACTGGTAAAACGATGTTACTTTTTGTCTCCTCTCCCCAACATCCTAGGCAGCAAACGGCCTGCTGTCACGTGACATGCTACAGAGCTCAGCCTCCTAGGCAGCAAACGGCCTACTGTCACGTGACATGCTACAGAGCCGCGCCATGTCACGTGACAGCAGGCCGTGCGCTGCCTAGGATGAAAATCAGTAGGCTGACCAATCACTCAGCTGCTTCCTGGGGGCGTCGTCACGTGCCCTCTCCGGGTCGCGTGTTCTACTTCCGGTTCTCTAACTTCCTCTCACATTCGCCTGCTGTCGGGCCTGGGTTTGGAAGAGGAATGGTGGTGTATTGGCTGCTGGAGCTGGTGTGAGGTGCGCACGTCTTGCAGGTGTGTAGCCTCCGTTCTTACAGAAAAGCAATGCCTGATGGACGCTGTCCATTCCCAGTTATGGCAAGCGCCGTGCATGGGATTTATTGTGTCACGCTCTGCAGCCATTATTTATTAGGTTCTCCAACACATGAGCAGCTTACCTGCTTCTTGCTGTTCTTGAAGCTTCCCCTCACTCCCCTATACAGAGCAGGTTATTATAAATTTGTGGAATTACAGTCGTGACTCCTGCAGGATGCTGTCCCTTCAACCATGACAATTCATGTGTCCCTTCACCTTCAGGTGGAAATTGTTTGTGGCTGTCCCATAAAGTATCCCCTGTATTCTTACCTTTTCAGCTGTCAGTTTCTTAAGCCTCTGCTGCATTGCAGATCCGCAGCCACTGCAGTCATCTGACACTTCCAGGTGTGTCAAATTCATGATTCTCCTTGCCACATGCATTGTTTCATCCCACTGACTTCTATTCTCTAATGATGTAGTAGTCAGCAGGAGAAATCGCAGTGTTGTGGAGCAGGTGTTGAATACTTGCAGCACATGCACATCTGCAACTCCAGTAGGGTTTACAAATATATCTAAGGACTAACTTATTTATAGCTTTAGAGTATGGAAAGGTTAAAATGACACTTAACTCAGGAGTTAAATCTAAAAAATGCATTTGAATACCCTATTCATAAAAATGTATTCTATTTGTGTATCACTCAGTTGTAGGTCCTCAAATCATCTCTGAATTGGTGCTGACACTGTCCTTCCTTCTGGAGGGGGGCTACTTTTGTTCCCCATGATCCCTGTGTGTGTTGTAAAGTATAGTGTTGTAGTAGATCACCTGCACTCCTTACGGTGTTCTAACCTTGCACAATTGTGGTACCCGTCGGGTAATCTCAAGTATTGGACAGGAGATCTCCAGGACTCGCCAGGTTCAAAGTGTAAATTTCTGTACTCCTTTATTGAACAGGCATCACATGTTTCATGAAACTTGTAGAAGATGATCAGCAGTCAAGTAGCAGTATTTAATCCTTGCGCTTATTTATTGGCGTGAAACGTCACAAACATGATCTAGCCAAACTATGGCGCAAGGATTAAATGCTACTCCTTGAGTGCTGGTGATCTTTATGTTCTACAAATTTGATACACACGGCGCCATCCGCGACTATCACTGCAACCACCACGATTGTCCAGGTCCAATCGCTGTAAGCAGTGCAAGGGACACATTCATATACATGTTTCCTCAAAGTTTCGGGGCCATGGAGGGTCTCTTCCTCACTATGTCTCTCTTATGAGGGGACCCTGCACAGCCCTGAAACGTTAGGCTTTGATGATGCATGTTCAGTAAAGGATGGAAATGCACACTTTGAACCTTGTGAATGCTTGTGATCTTCTATCCAATACGTTGTGTTGTTAAGCAGTCACCGCTCCAAGCTCGCTCCGGTGATGGACTACAATGTCATGTTTTAGTTTACTAATTTGTATTGAGATTGTAGTCCATCACAGGAGAGAGCTTGGAGCGGTGCCTACTTTACAACACACACAGGGACCATGGGGAACAAAGGTAGTCACCCTGCATAAGGAAGGACAGTGTCAGCATATATTCAGAGATGATATGAGGATCTACAGCTGAGTGATACACAAATAAGACCGTAATTAAACAATTACAGGGGTTGTTTCATGTGGAGAATTTTTATATAGGCTGGAAAATGTCTGCATGGTTGATACAGGTTGTTTTTTTGTTTTTTTTTAATATTGTAGAAAAGAGAATTGATATTTCACCGCAAGTGTGCTGCTTCTTTTAGCTTGCTGAGAATATTGAAGAATGGGTAGTAGTGCTATCACTATAGAACGCTCCCATTGAGACATCTGTGCATGTGTGTCCACTCGTGAGGTAGCTACATACTGTACTGCCTGTTTAATATGTATTGGATTTAGATTATCTTAGATTAAGAGGAATCTCCTGCTGCGGCTATTTTGTTTTGGCAGTTGGCCCTGCCGGCTGTCAGAATACCTGAACAGTGCCTGTATCTGATTGGAGGCAGATTGGTTTGGCCGAAAGTGTTTGTTTATTTTTTTTCCAGACTCCTTTGATTTTCCAATCGAAGAATGTCAGGCAGTAGACAAGGCCACCCACTGAGCAAATTTCAATCGGTTTATCGAGAACAAGCAGAAATCTGCTCAGTATATAGCCAGCTTTAGGTGTTAGTACCTTTTTTACATTGTATTATATGGTGCCATCTGTAGTCGGCGAAATGAAAATTGTTAATAGGAGCACAGTATAATTCTAAGTAGCTGACAGCATGAGCACATTATAATAGATTGTATTGAGTTTAAAGATAGAAAAAATGAGCTTCATTAATCTAATGTAACTTCTTTCCCTGTATTATTTTCTCAATCTTTACATGAAATCTGCAGTTGTATTTTTATGGAAAACATGCACCTAGAAGTCTGTTTGCTGTATGACGGCAACAACAGGAAGAGGGATTAATATACTTTAATGCACTTGGCACACTCTGCTAAGAGGAATTGGCAGAGATTTAATACCTTGCATACTTTTACTACAATTGTCCTCGGAGTAGGATTGCTACATATCTGTGTATGACCCTTGAACCTTGTTATATGACATGCATGCAGGAGCTGAAACTATTTAATTGTTTTGTTTCCCAGTCTGTTTTCTGCGGTAAGTGAAGACTGTAAAAGAAGCAACATTTTCAATGCAGAATGAATAAAAATGTATTGTGGAGATTGGTCTTATTACTATATTTATTTTTACAGATTATTTTCAATATATAAGTAAACATACAAGTCAAGCTATAAAAGGTAAGTTAAAGCAAACCATTTTGAAATGTGTCCTTTACATGTAAAAGCTTCTTCTATCCATAATTTTACATAAATATATGCTAGAAACGGTTTGACTACTGCTTTGTAATCTTTGTTTGCATTTGTACATAAATAATATAAACATACAATGGGAAAACGTTGACACTTGTACAGTTAAGCATTAGGTTTCATGGTGTCGACATATGTTTCAAGCCCATTGCGTTTGATTGAATTGGATCTGCAAAACCTCATGCATGTGATCGTTTTTATTTGCCATCAATTTTTTTTTATTTTTGTATTATTATTATTGTTTAATAATAATACGACAGTAGCTCTAATATAATTGGACTGTTGTAGGAGAAATTTCCCCACAGTGGTCTTACAGTACCGTAGTTCAGACTCGAGGGGATCACAAAAGGGAATAGCACAAATGAGAGAAGAAAAACAGACATTTTAACAGTTACTCTTGTCTGTCGCATTGTATTTGCAAAGCATTGTGTAAAGTTAAGTTGCATCCACTGTTCTGATGAGACAAGTGATGTAAACTTGTGGTCTCTGTTGATTGCATGGTCAGGTTGTTTCAGTATTTGAAAAAATGGGGAGATCGAATTCAAGGTCCCATTCTTCAAGATCGAAATCTCGTTCGCCGTCATCTTCTCGATCAAGGTCGCATTCCAGGAAGAAAAGATACAGGTAACTAAATCTGGGCTTCATTTACATTCTAGCAAGGGAGTATAGAGGATATATTTTCCCACTAGCTTTTGGGTAGACATTAAAGTCACCCTGTTACTACAGAGTCAAATAGGCCCAGCATTTTAAAGAGGCTATGTACTTTGCTTTTTATATATGTTGATACCTTGCTGTTTTGTTAATCCCAGGCACAGCAGGTATTTGACACTTCCAGGCATGTCATACCTGCGATCCCCACCACATGCTGTGGTTCCTGCTGACAGCATGTATGTCCTCTAGTGATGTACATGCCAGCAGGAGGAATCGCAGTGTACGGTGAGAGTAGCTGATATTCATAGTACGTATATAGTCTTTAACAGGCTGGACCTATTTAACTTTTGACCTTTTAGTGTAGTGACAGGGTCACTATTAGGGCTGCTACCAACTAATTGGTTATGAGAATAGTTGTGAACTATTCTCATCGATTAGTTGGCTGGATCCCCTAGCTCTCTCCTCCATGCTGGGAGGAGGGCACAGCAATCCGTGTGCGGGTGCAATAGCAAGTCTGTTATTGGCCATTGCAATTGAAATGTCCATTAGCAGACTTGCTATTGCACAGCCCACTACCTGCTGTAATTATATTCAGCTGCCGTCTGTGGGCAGCTTGCCTTCCCTGGCTGAAGCTATTCAAGTGCCATTGTGCTTACAATACAATTATAAGAAATTATAAAGGGTAGTGAAAAGTCATTTTAGGTTTCGGCCTGACAAATTCTCCTGTGGGAGGTGTGTTGCAGTGCCATTTATTTCAATGACACCCCAAACACGCCTCCCATCCACACTGTGATCACCCGCACGGTACTGCACTGCTGTGCTGTCCAGTGCAGTGCTATTGCCAAACATTGTGCATGCAGTTTTAGTCTGAAGTAAACTTTGTAACACTGCATTTGTGTATTTTATTTTAAATTAAGGATTGTATTTGTTTAATCGGCCAGCTAATCGATTTATGAAAATATCATTAGTTGGGAGCCCTAAGCACCTAATCTAAAAATATTTCATTTATTTTGGTAGATCCTGGAGAATGAAACCACTTAGCAGTTTGTCTCTAAAAGCATTCAGTGATGAGAAATGTCTGCACTTGTTTTCTCAGGCTTTCATACCTGCCATGGTCATTAAAGTCATTTGTGTAATGGCTTTCACTTTTATATTTACTGTGCCATACTTTATGATCCAATTACCTAAACGGATTTGACATTTGTTTTATGGACAGGAAGATCAGGATTAGCCTGGCAGCATTTCTAACTGTTTTGTTACAGTTTGTGGAGATTTCCCCATCATTTCTTGTCCCACCAGAAAGTGAGGGAAACTCTCCCCAAAGGGGATACATAATAGAAATGAAAAATCTGAATTGTTTCTTCTCTGTTCTGTGCAAAGCAAAAGAAAATATTGGCTGAAGTTGGTTTCCAAGAAAACCTTTTTATCTGTGTGAAAGTTTGTGAATCAGCTGCTAGATGAAAACACAGGCATATCCAGTTGTGTACCTGCATTCTTATTTAATGTAAAGAGTACCCTAGAACCCTAAAAATCCAAGAGCAAACAGGAGTCAGTACTCTAATGATTCCAGCTCATTCCTTCACATCCCCTCCCTGGCTATTGTTTAGGCTTTTGGGGTGCTTTGGAATATAACATGGGTGCAAAAATGGAAAAAAGGGCCTCAGTCATGAAGGGGTTAAACGAGCAAATTCAGGCACCTGTTATCTAGAGTCTTTGCTCCCTTCTACCACACAATCACTGCAATTGAGACCCCATTCACTCTGAGCTACATAAAAAAGTTATTTTTCAGCTCTTGATTTTGAGCTGAGTGACCTTGAGCTACAGTGCACATTTTGTCACGCAACGTAGTGCTTCTTTTGGCAGTCTATCAAAGCATATTGGTGCCAAATTGCACAAAATAGATCATGTTCGAGCGACAAGATTGAGCTACAGGCAACATTGAGCTGTAAGATGTGAACACCTCCATTGAAATGCATTGGACGAGCTACATTGAGCTTCGTTTTTGAGCGGAAATCTTGCTACAAATCGCTCAGTGTGAATGGGTTCAAACCAGCATGGCTCAATAGACATGGTGTGAATAGCCAAAAGGGTGTTTGACTAAAGTTATACATGTCATTTGGATTTGTTGCCTTCTAAATGGAAAAATAAAGATTTGTTATTTAACTTTTAAGTTCCAGATCTCGGTCAAGAACATATTCCCGATCACGGAGCAGAGAAAGGGTTTACAACAGAGATTACAACAGAGATTTCCGTAGAGATTATAGAAATAATAGAGGAATGAGGCGCCCCTATGGCTTTAGGGGAAGAGTAAGAGGTTATTACCAAGGAGGAGGTGGTAGATATCATCGTGGTGGTTACAGGCCAGGATGGAACCGTAGGTATTCACGAAGTCCTCGGCGTGGCCGGTCTCGCTCCAGAAGTCCAAAACGGAGATCTGCATCATCTCAAAGATCTAGAAGCCGATCCCATAGATCTTACAAGTCCTCACAGTCACCAAGGTCATCAACTTCTCGTTCTTCTTCCCGCTATAGCAAGTCACCAGTGGCAAAACCTCGTACATCTGAAGAGAAAGCCAGACAAAAAAATGAAGGGGCTGACAAATCAGAAAGTCCCCCCAATGATAAATCGGGTGATGAGCATAAAGATGCATTTGACCCCTCCGAACCAATAGATGAGCTTGGCAAAGAACTTGATTTGCATGGTGAGAGCTGGGCAGGACTATCTGCCTATGATAACAGTCCGCGGTCTCCTAGCAGTCCATCCCTGGTGGCCTCACCACCCAGTCAGAGCTCCTCTCAGTCTGACTGTCCAATCCTGAGTATAGTACACTCAGGTAAGGATACCTTGTCTCAGAATTCACATTCCATTGCTCACAGCCCTGAAAGATCAGTCTCTGGGTCTGCTGGCAATAGTTCGACACGATACAGCCCTTCCCAGAATAGCCCACTTGACATCCCTTCTCAAAAGAGTCCAGCAAAGACTGTGCTATCTCAGCATCCTTTACGTGATGAGGGGCACTCCCACTACTCGCATTATGCTGATGAAGAAGAACAAGGGACTGCTAAAGGTACAAAGATACCTAAAAGGTGAGAAATATTAATCAGCTGGTTATGATTCCTCAAAGAATATTTTGTCATGGATGTAATATTAGGATTATGGGACTTTTCATAGTAGGGTAATTTTTAAAGCTGAACTCTAGGCAATCACCTGTAAACATTCAAAATACACATTCTTATCCTACCAAACAATATCTGTCTAGCTGTTTTTGTAAATTGTATATCTACCAATCAGCACAGCTAGGAGAACAACATTACTTTCTCTGCTAGTTAAGGAATGATGTCTTCTCCCTGCCCAACTGTAACCTGCTGATTGGATAAGCTCCACAATGCACTGATGAAGGCAAAAACTCTGCTCTCACATTGTCTACGTGATGCTGATGGCACATGTGCATGTAGTAAAGTCTGATTTATCTCCTAGCTCTGCCTATTCCATTCTATCTTTCTTAAGGTGTCCATACACCTGCCGATTATCGTAAGATAATCGTGGGTGATCCCGCGATCATGCGATAATCGGCAGGTGTATGGGCAGCATGCGACTGCTTCTACTGTAAGGTCGCACGACTTTTGTCTTCCGAGCACGCTGGAAAACCTGCCGAAAATCATGCTGTGGGTAAGCAGGGCTAAATGTAGTGCAGGGAAAGCCACCACTCGTTTTGTACAAGTGACCCGGGTGGCTATACAGCCGCTCAGATCACTTGTAGCAGGCTGCTTGTCCCTCACCTCCCTGCTGTGGTTTTCGGGGTCCCCGGCAAATTACTTCAGGATGGAGAGTGGGGAGAAGACCAGAGAATGTCCATTCTCTGATCTGTGTGATCAGCGAGACAGGATTGCTGCACAGGAGATCAAGCACAATGCTGTGCTCTACTGTATTGGATGGCAGGCTCCATAAAGAGAACCTGTCTCCAAAAGCTATCACATAGGGCTTTGTAAGCCCCCTGTTTTATAGCAATAAAGTTGCGTGGGGGGAAAAAAAAGTGATTTTAAAAAGGAAATTTTTTTTAAAAAAAAGGTAAAATCGAACCCACCTCCCCTGCCATCTGCATGCAAATAAACACAGGCATAGGTGTGTGTGTTGCCCCCTGCCCCCATTCTGCTGTGTGCCATATTGTGGTAACCAGGCTGCAGTCCTCTCTATCACGCATAATGTGCAGTAAAGGGTAGCGTCACTCCTTCGCCGGTATGGGTGTGCTATTTGTACCCAATACTGCGGTCCAGCGCAGCCTTGCGCTATGGATTTTAAATTTAATTTGCCCATTCTTAGCACAGTTAAATACCGTTTTGGGGAAAAGTTTTTATTTTTTTATTTTTTTTATTTTATTTTTTTTATCACAAGTAGATTTTCATGAGGGACAAGTGGATTGGGCCCTGCATTAGTCCTTGGACAAGTAGTTTATTTAAAAATTTCCACACCCTGATGCCTAATAGTAGCGACGTCCAATCCTGATCCTGTGTAGGCATGATAATGATGTTAGTTTAAGACCAGCTTGAAGAGTGGTTTAGGCAGGCTGGAAATCGCAACTGGAACTGGTGGGGAGTGTGAGACTGGATTAAAGGCAATTTTTTTTCTTAATTGTACTTCGCGGGATCAGAGTTATAGACCATGGGTTATATGCAGCTGTCTTAAGGTGTTGCAAAGAAAGCTGTAAGGACCCACTCTTGCATTCCACTCTTGATCTATAGATTCTCAAAGGTTCCTGTGATTACTTGGCCTTTGCAGTGGACAGGCTAGTAAATCTGTGGGATTAGTTCCACCTGATCTATGTCTTTTTCCGCTTCTGAAGCGCCTTCCTTGACTTTCCGTAGTCCATCCTGGATCCAGATCTGTCCCAGAGACTGGTTCACCATCCTGTTTCTTGGTCACTGGTTTTAACTGATTAGCTGTTTAAGCTTGGGTCCTGAGGCACACGGGCCTATTGGATTCAGTCATTGCTATGCTCCTAACGACCAGCACTGCTTTTCATGGTTTGGGACTAGGAAGTTCCATCCCAGGAAGTACTCTGTTGGATGAATTCTGCCTTCAATTTGGTCTGGACCAGCTTTTGGCTTTGAGTATCTCCAAGGGTCAAATTTCATCCCTAGCTATGCTTTTCCAAAGGCAACTTGGTGAAAGCCTTTGTGCAGTGTGGTGCTCACATTGCTCTCCTTGTACACTCCCCAGTCACACAGTGTAATCCCAACCTGGTTCTTTCAACATTTTCAGTAGCCGCCCTTTGAAATTAAGGATATTTGCCCTGTCTACCCTTACAAGGTTGCCTTCCTCTGTGGTAAGTTAACATCTTTATCCTGTAAAAAACCCTTCCTAGTGTTGCACAGGGATAAGTTTGCTTTCCTTCCCAGTGTGGTTACCTCAACCTGGAGATTATTCCTCCCTCTCTGTGTCCTGCTCTGAATACATTCTAGGAAAATGTCTCTCTACTGTGTGGATATGGTACATGCTGTGTTATTCTACCTCTCAGCTACAGATTCTTTTCTACAATTTTATCCTCTGTTATTCTAGAAGGTCCTATTAGGGGACACCCTGCTGTCTTATATATATATATCCCTAGTTGTTAAGTTTTTTTGTTTGCACGGTGAATGTTTAGGCCTAATCTGATTTGAGTGTAAGATGCTTCTATCTGAGCTTAACCAGTCCTCTTTTGACCCATTACTTGGGCCTGTTAGCTTTTGTTTGCTGTCTTGGCCACCAACTCAAAAGAATGCGTTTTGGATATCCAGTGACCTAAGGGGCTTATCCTGTGTCATGTACGATTAACAAAATAGGATTTTTTTTTTATTGTAGTACATTACAGGATGCAGATCCTACCCTCTGTTCTTTTAATTCCTTATTGCTTGCTGCAGAACTGAGGCTTGCTGGGTTGGGAGTCAGAGAAATTTATATTAGGGCTTTCCTTAAAGCATTGTTTGCCAATGTCCAAATCTCTTGTAAACAGCTGCATATAACCCATGGTCTAGGATTCTGATCCCATGTACTGAAATGTACACCAAGGAAAGGATTTTTCAAGTAAGTGAAAAATACTTTTTTTTTTTTTTTGTGGTGGGGGTTTGACTTTTAAATATTTAAGTTGTCATTATTCTAATTGTCTAATAAAGGTGCTAATAAACATGATCTTATTTTAAATCTACAGGTATACAGATGAAGAGCATAGGTTATTTCCTATTGAACGAGTAAATGTTAGAGAGAAAGACAGCCAAAAGGAAAAGGCATTAGAGAAGTCTAAAACGGAACCATCCAGAAGCTGGGGTAGTTCTGATGCTTTGGACTATTTATTTGAAAAAGAGCCTGATAAAACTCCATTCTTAGCTACTTCTGAAAATGAAGAGGAAGTGGAGGATTATAGGCAGTTCAGGAAGGCTGTGCTAGCTGATCAAGGCAAAGGTTTTTCTTCTGCATCCCATTGGATTTCTGAGGAGGAAGGGGCAAAATATAAGTCCAAGACTCAGACAAAGGTTACTAAAGAAGGGGAAAAGAGTAGGGAAAGTAAGGGTCATAAAGTGTCTTCTAAAGACAAACATAAAGATGATGATCGAGATATTGATAGGCCTTCAGCTAAAAAAGATTCTAAATCACCTGAGCCAATTAAATCTGAAAAGATGATAAAAGATCCCTTTAGTTATAAACTTCCATTACAGCAAAGCGATGAAGTGAAGGAAAATGTATTATTAAGGGAGGAAAGTCCACTTAGAATCAGGATGATAGCAACAGAGTCTAACCGCCCTGAGGTCAAGCTCCGGATAACAACTGTACCCCTTGATGATGCCAGGTAATGAGAATTACATTTTATAGGTAGACAGATTTTTACCTTGATTAGTAAGAAGCTAAGAATTATTTTTTGTTTTGCCCTTTATAAAGGCCATCAACTCTGGCTAATGATCGCCTGCTAGCCAGTACTCTTGTACATTCAGTCAAGAGACAGAAAGATTTCAGATCCATCTTTGACCATATGAAGGTGCCCTTCTCCAGCAAAACCTCTCCTGAATCATTTATCTACCATGTTGTGGCATTAGTACAGTTCGTCAAAGGTAAGCAGCTTATTTATCACAATATTAATGTCTTAAAACATTTTCATGCTAACCTTGGTAGCAGATAATGGTATATTTATGAATTTTCTCTTGGAGAGACTGTCACTTGGCCCATTCAGAAGCCTGCACCTCTTTCCCAGTAAGATATACTTGCCCACCAGTACTCGGATGTTGCCTTCCCACTCTTAGAGCCCTTGCCCAGTTGCTTTAAGGGAGTGGGGCTCCTGTTTGCGGTAGCATATACTCACCGGCCACTTTATTAGGTACACCTGTTCAATTGCTTGATAACACAAATTGCTAATCAGCCAATCATATGTATGACACTTCATTCATATATCGGTAGTGCTGCAATGTCTTCGGCTGCCATATTTAGGACATTACTGAACATCTGTAATATACTGCAAAATGTAAGTGTATATATCTTGATGCACTGTGAGGGGCTGCTTTCTGAAATGCTTTGTTCTGATTTAAATGATCTATTGTGATCAGTTCAGAAGAATGCTTGTTATTATATACATCTGGGACATGTTTAATAACTGGCATTTCCGGTAACGGGTGGTAGGAAAGTTGCTTCATAAATGTTCTCCAGATTTACTAATAGACTTCTCTGCGCTGCAAATCCAATTACCTAATGATACTATACATTTAGAAGTGTATAAGTTTTTACATCACATGAATTAACATTATGACTAGAATTAATTTTATAATTTAATGTTCAGCAATTTGAGGATAAACAGTGCTTGAAGAAGAACTCTAGAAAAATATGAAGCAGTTCAAAATCTTACTGGCTTACAAGAAGTTAAGTGCAAGGAGGTGTATTCCACCTCCTGGATCTGTCTTTTGTTTACATCTTACTAGTTCACGGAGTCTGGTATACATTGCTATACACTGGTGCTCCATCAGAAGGGATACGGCTCTATCACAGCAGTCACACTGCCCGCTCCTCCTCTCTCCAGCTCATTCACCGAATGCTTTAGATTTTCTGCATGGTTTCACAGAATGCAAAATGTTTTGTAATTGGACTAATGGAGAAGAGGGGCAGGCAAATGACGTGACATCTGCTGTGTAAGGTATAGTGTGTCAGGACTGCCGAATGTACCGCAATAGCTATATTATGGCTCTCGGTGAAACTGTAAATTGTAAACCAAATGGAAAACTCCAGTAAGTGGCATACACTCCCTTCCCCTAACTTTAACAGTTTGTTAATTAGCCAAAATGTATTTAATGTTTCTCTTTTATCTGATAGAGGAAACACCAGGTCCCATATTGATGTTAGGTTTTTACACTTTGGAGACTATCGTTTAGACAATAATGCAATAGACAATAAGGCTTTATTCTGAAATCGAATAAGCTGTTTTCCCCGAGTACGACGGCTGTGGAAAGTCAGTAGTAGCCTGCTTTGTTTTTTTTTGTTTTTTTTTAGTTCTAAAATCTTTTCAGACTTGTATGCAGATCTAGTAAAATCTTATTGTGCTGTACTCTTTAACCATGGAATAACAAAGACGAAATAACCTACAAATTATGAATGTGACGGTTACCATTGGATTTAGATTAGCTAATTAAACTTTCTATCCTTTTTGACACCCCTTGCTTAAAAGATCAAAAGTGAGATATCGGCTGCACAAAACATCGTCCAGGACACACGATTTTTATGTGTGAGGACTGTAAAGATTTTATGATATTATTAGTGTTTCTTTTGCAAACATTGGATTAAATGGTTTCCACTTAAAGTAAACATGTTTACTAAAGCATCTTTAAACTGCTTAGAACTGTGGAAGGGTGAGTCGGTGAGAAGTGCTGGATCACGACCTTTCTCTAGTGGAATAGGAGCCATATTAGGGCCTGATGCCTGATGTTCCAGCAGCTCTTCACCAAACAGGGGGCCCTTCCAGAGGGAGGGGATGCCCAGAATGCAAAATCCATGTAAAAGACGACTAAAAAAAGAGCGCCAGGTAATGGCGACAATAAGCTTACTTTACAAATGCTGAACTGCTGGTAAAGATCTTTTCACACCAAGAATTTCCAGTCCTGCCTGAGAAATAGGATTGTCTACAGGGGCTGCCAGTGTCCCGCTATCCTTTTGTTTAATCCCGGATGACCCACAAAACCTATTGGCTGCTCATATCTTTTGAGACAATTGCCTGGCACTTTTTTAGTCGTCTTTCACAGAACTATATGAAGGCTGCCATTGTTTACCTCCTAAATGGTAGTTGCCTGGTTGTCCTGTTGTTCCAATAGCTTTATTACTTTTATTAACTAGCCTGGAACAAACATACATCAGGAAACTCGGAGCTCCTAATCTGCATACTTGGTCAGTGACTCTGAAAATACTGAAGCTGTGGCAGCATCTGTACAGTTTTATATTAATAGTAGTCGGATAAAAGTTACAGGTTCCACATGGCAGTGTTTAAGCTGTAGTTATTATTTGGAACAGGCAGCCATTTTGCTCTTACTCCCACACCCTCACCTCAGTGCTAGCGCTGCACCAGGGGACATTTCTCCCAATTTTTCAAAGCCATTTTGCCTTTGACTTCCATAGATGCTCTGCAGTTTAAAGTACACCTGTCATGATAGAAATATGGAGGCTACCATTGTTAACCACCTTAACAAAATGCTGAAAAAGCTTCTGGCTTTAATGCCTTAGACCTGCAACACACATGCAGAATGTAGTAAAACCATTCATATTTTGGATCAGCCTTACTTCCTTAGTAACTGCTTATTTAAAGCTCAATTTGAAATTTTTAGTTTTAAATCGGCTAATTACATTCAAGGTGCCTGAAACCAAAGGTGCTTAAAGTCTTAGGGCTTGTACATACAAGCTTTAGGTTGTGTGAGAACTGTGTGTACAGCAAGCTTTAGCCAAGCATTTGCAAAGCTTTGTGCCTGCTTCAAACAGCTTTGTTGAAGCCCTTAAAGCACTGTTCATATCCAATTTCCAGAGGTAACCACAGCTCTTAGGCTGGGTTCACACCTAGGCGTATCGAATATGCGCGTTTGTCCCGCGATTCGCTGTAAAAAAAAGGGCTACTTGGCTGTATCCCAATGGAAACGCGTGACAAAAACGCCCCAAAGAAGCTCCTGTACTTCTTTGGGCGTAGGGTGTTTTGTAGCACGTTCATACGGCCTGTAATACGCCCAGGTGTGAACCATACCCATAGGAAATAATGGAATTTCGGTGTTTGAGCATTTTGCAGAGCGTAGGAACGCGCTACAAAATGCCCAGGTGTGAACCGGGCCTTAATGAGAACACCGACTGATACTGCAGGTCCCTGCAGAGCTTGCCAATTTAAACTTAAAGCACTGCCAGCAGGCAAACCTTATCCTCCCTGCTGAATGGAGAGCTTTAGGTCTGACCTACAGAGAGACTACTTCCACACAGAAAGCAATGGTCCTCATCTGCACCATGCTGGCAGGGACAGGTTTTTCTGCTCAGGATGTGGCTACTTTCTTAAAACAAACTAAGCCTGGCCATGCACTGCACTATTTTCTCGTTCATCCCGTGGGCTGAATGAAAAAAATAGAGAAGATACCTCAAACACTTAGGAGTGTGTCGATAAATGAATCCCGCTGTGTGCATTGTGTTCTAACAGCTGCCACTGTCGGAATGCCCCAACGGTGCCGGCGGCTCATTGGCTGTCGGCTCTGATTGTACAAAGATGTTCTGGCCAGCTCCTATCAGCTGATCAAGCGATTCCGGCCAAAAGGGTGCCGACAGCAGCGCCACTGCGAATTACGGCTGGCTCCTTAAAAAGTGTATGGGCACCCTAAAGGTGCCCATACACCTTGCGACCTTCGCAAGACTTTTGTCTTGCGATGGTCGTAAGCTTATTATAAGCTTGTACGATCTGCCCATCTTGGACAGGCAGATCGTACTTGCGATCATCGAAAGGCCGCCCCGCTGAGGGGCAGGCTTCCGATGACCGCAATGCTGAACGGGCAGTGTGCGTGTGCGCACACCGGCCCGTTCCGCAGTTGTCGAACGAGCAGGCTAGAAACCCGCCGACAATCGTACGATTCGCGGCGGGTTTTCTAGCATGCTGGTTCGACAAAAGACGTGCGACCGTACAGTAAAAACGGTTGCACGGCTTCCATATACCTTGCGATTATCGTACGATCGCGGGATTTCCCTTTAAGGTGCCCACACACCTTGTGATAATCGTACTGTAAGGTCGCACGACTTTTATCTTAGGAACATGTTCAAAAATCGTACGATTTTCGGCTGGTTTGTGGCATGTTTGCAAGTTAAAAGCCGCACGGGCCGGTGTGCGCAAGCGCACACTGCCCGTTCATTATTGCGGTCATCGGAAGCCTGCCCCTCAGCGGGGCCGGCTTGCGATCATCCCAAGTACAATCTGCCTGTCCAAGATAGGCAGATCGTACGTTTTTTTTTAATTACCTTACAACCATCGCAAGACTAAAGTCTTGCGATGGTTGTAAGGTGTGTGCCCAGCATTAGACTTTAACACCTTCTTTTTTTTTTGTTTTGGCACACCTGAAACATATTTAGCTGATTTAAACAAAAAGTTCAATTGGACCTTGGACTTTCTAGCCTAATATTGCATCAAAACACTCTCAAATGTTACTTGTGTACTCAATAAAATTGTGGAAAACCCAAAGCGAACAGTGAGAGTCTGGTTTGACCTTAGTAAAGTGATTGCTGCTTGCTTTGGATTACCGCACTAAAAAGAATGGTGGTCCAGAGAAATAGTTTGCTGCCTAAATGAACTGGGGTAGTCGCACTTCTTATTCACTGTTATTTTGTTTGTGAATATAATCCATTTTGTTGACCGTGACCTAGAAGTGCCCAGTGTTGATTTCTTTTTCATTATGACTAGGTCCTGGAAAATATTTTGAAATGGCACAATATAACCAAATAAAGTATACTGTTGCTGATGCAAAAAATGCAAAATGGCCAAAAATTCTGAATTGCTAGCTCCAAATATTTCCTGAGTATACTGGAATTAAGCTTGAAGCACTAGCCTTTTAGTGGCTTTTTCCAGGTGTATTACTTGATATTGAGGCATTTGCTGGATGCTGGGCGGTAAGTGGAAAAAGCTGTTTGTATTATCTGAAAGAGGAAAGCTTGCTTCACATTTTGTTTTTCATAGTTCATGATTGTGTCTTCTGCATTGAACCAAGTCTTTGTTCTTATTTTTAGACTTTTAATAACATGAATAGTACAAAAATGTATTTTTATTTTAATTTTTTGTTGAACAATAACATTTACTGTGTGGATAGCAAAGGGATTGTCAGTATATCTGTGTTTTAAACACAACACATGCTTGCACATCAAGTTGAAAGGTATACTGCTTAGATAAGGGATTTGGGACACTTAGGGGCTAACCACAACATTTCTCAACACCGTGACCCTGATTCAGCTTTTAATTAAGTTTCGCTCATTAAAAGCTGACCGCTGAGTGGTGGCTGCGCTTTGCTGAAGAGTTCTCTCTGCTAAACACTGCAGATGTTAGCGATCTTCTTGCTTCAGTATTTTCAGTCATAATCCCAGATCAAGAGCTTCTGATTTTTTTTTTTTTACTCCAACGTTCTTGATCAGCATACTTTTATCCGGGTCAGTGACTCCAAAGTATTGAAGCCAGTGGATCAGCATGACAGCAAGGGAGCTTGCATTTTAGAAGGAGAGGTCAGCAGTGGCATCCTCCATATTTCTTTTAGGAAAGGTTGCCTTTTAAGCTACAACCTAATCTTGCATGTCTGGTGTAACAAATGTGAACTAGAGTGAACTTGTGAGGGCATTTTGTAAGTCTAAAAGTTCTGGCGCTCTAATCCTATCTATACTATCTAGTAAATCACTAACCGGGAGCAAGCAACTAGGATGTGAGTTCAGACTTCAATAACTGCATCCATGTTCTGAGTAGGTGATGCACAAAGTAGTAAGGCCATGATGACAACCCCAGAGCCAAATGCATGAAGAGCGTATATGTTTTGAAAGTACGGATATCATTTCAGATACTGTACGTTTCCAGAAAATGCTTTTATTTTTTTGTTTTGGATATATTGCAGAAGGGTTGAAACATCTGTCAGGTAAGGTATTCCTGTGTCCCCACTGGGAAGATGAGCAGGGCATCATCACAAGACTAAATCTCGTCTTGAGCTTTATAATCGTATAAAAAGAAGTTGTGTTTTTGGAGCCACAAAGGACTCCAGCAGGCAATAGTGACAGCTTAATTTGTAATCTGTCACTATTGCCTGAAGGAGTCCTTTTGTGGTTCAGAGGAGCCAAAATGTCACCACCCCTGTCATTTAAACACCCTGCAATTATAGGTCACAACGCTGTGTTGATATTGTAACCCACTGGGAAGATTCCCCCTTATTTTACTGTACCTGTGGTCACTGTGACTAGAGTGGAAATGTCTCCAAAAAAAAGTTAAATGTTGAGCAGCATACAGGTAAAGGGGTAGGCATTTGATGCCTTCTGTGCCATTGCTAGTGTCAATCCTTAACTCATGTCTTTACTAAATTCTTGAATATTAAAAGTATGTATTTTCCTTACCCTCAGCATTGGTATGTCAACTACAAAATATTTAGTCAAATGCAAAGTAACTTTGTGGTCACAAGTGCAGACATAGAAAGCAGAAAACCAGTTATCTGCAAGTATGCTTGCGCAACTTACAGCTCCTTAAAGGGCCCAAAACTCAGGGGATTCTGTTATGCATTTTTTAACCAGTACTATGTATAAGAACTTTGGCCCACATCTTTCTATGCCTTGCTGTGACTCTAATAGATGGTGTTGTAAAGCCGACAGTCGGCTCTACAAGTTTAAACAGAGTCCCGGCGGCAAAAGTCGCCGGGAGTCTGTTTAAACAGCCCCGATGCTGGCGACGTACACTGTACGTCGTCAGTCACGAAGGGGTTAAAGGATAAGTGGGAGAGACTGAGCTCCTGACCACAGGAAATGGCAGAGGTTTGCATAACAAAGTTCTCTGCAGTTAGTGGCTCCTGGGCGCTCTGCAAGTTATGCAAGTCTACTGTTTTCAGTATGTGCTATTTATCACGTTAAAGTGACCCTAGAAATGTGTGTAATATTCTTGTAGGTTTGGGACAATTGTGTGTGTTTTCTATATATTTTGGCTTCTTTAGCACTTTAAAAATGAGCACAGAGTTACTGGAATGTGACCCTGTTGCTGATCCAACACAAATTAAGCGGTTCCCTTTAAGGAAGAGATAGATCAATTAACTCTGCTGCTGCCCAAAGCACTACAAGCATTTTGATCAGTAGAAATGGTCCACTGAACTCTGCTGGAGTGTCGATCTCCTGGGTCCTTGGCTGATGTCGCGGTTTTTCCTGCTGACCTACACATAACTGTCCTAAAGTCAGCAGGAGGAACCAATTTGAGATCTACAGGGGACCCAGGAAGCCGACAATCTGCATATGTTGATTTTCCAAAGGGAATATTGCTATTGATTGGAGCAGTGTTCAGTGGCAAGGGCAGCAGGAGATCTGAATATTCAGTCTCTCCTTTACAGGTAACAGCTTAATTTGGGATTCTAGATTGGCGACAAGGTCACTTTAAGCAGCTTTTGGCCAATATTTTCCATCACTATTTATGATTGAAGGAGACGGAGAAACAGTTGAGAAAGTTTTTTTTCTACTTTCAGTATATTGAATGATTGCTAACCTATTTCTGAAACTGCTAGATGCCTGGCTTTCTTGATAATCCTCCAGATGTAATATTTGCTTAAATTACTGTTGGTTTATTTGGGGTTACTAAATCAGTGCTGAAGCCATGGAGGCATGACAGCCAGGCAGCTGTCATTTTCAAGAAGGTCAACCCTCTAAGCTGATGTATTTTATCCCATTACAGCTTTCCCTTAAAGTAAACCTTTCCTAAGAGACATGGAGGCTGCCATTGTCAGCCCCCTCTTGAAGATGCTAGTACACTATCCAACTAGGTTTAGAAAGGTTTGAGTTGCTCATCTACATGGTTGTTCCAGGAAAGGGACACACATTAAAGTAAGAAGGTAAATATAACAGCCAGGAAACTGGAATTTGCAGAGTAAGATGTAACCGTTAAAGCCTCCATATATCAAGAAAGGTTTCCTTTAAGTAATTGCTTATGATGGTTAGGATGAAAAGGATATGTTTGTGTGGGGAGGATAACCATAATGGCCCACTCACACTCAAGATTTTATAAAAGGCAGGAAATGACCTAGCAGTTCCTACTGAAGATTGTTTTCAACATGGGCTCTCTCTGCTACCGGTAGCATTTTAAATCTATCTTGCTTGTTGTGACAAAAACTACCCATCAGGTTCAGTCTGTTCATTATATTGGGCCTAGTTAATGGGTCACAGTGCAGTAACCAAGTGCTCTTTAGCCTGCTTTACTGAACTAGAATTAACGGGAGCTTACAATATATAAAACGTATAATTTGTTTATCTTTTTGTGGTCTAACAATTGGTTTATTTTTGTATTTTTTGTTTTTTTTTTGGTATGTAGTTTTATTAAATTTTTTGTGTGCCTCTTTTACTGCAACTTGGTCTTTTTCACATGGAACCTAGCCAATTGTCTGATAGCTCTGCAAACGGGGTTCTTGTTAAGTAAACATGAAATATAAGAGAGCAATGGGTACACCTTTTTTTTGCATTTTAAGCTTCCTAATGATGCAGTAGTACATTTTGCAATGTACTCCTGTAATCAAAAATGCACCATAAGCTTACAATTCAATGTAATATGCTGTGGGCGGGTCTAAGCTCTGTGCTGAGAAGCAATACCAATAATATTGTCGGGATCCTCCTCTGCCATTGAGGGACAGCAGCTTGTAGGAGCTGCTGCGCGTTCATGAGAACCTGTGGAGGTGCAGCAGCTCAGGGCACATCCTGTCGCAGGTCTATGAACACTTGCGCATCCATCCTGCAGTTTGTCGTTTCCACGCTGCTGTGTCCAGACAATGCACATACCATATCGGCAAAAGGACAGTCAGTTCAGCTTTGTCCTTGCCCTCCACTCTGCTGTCTTTATCTCTTCTCCCTTTTTATGTCCCAGGACAACATCATGGAGGGAGAGAGGACAAAGCTGAATGGACTGTCTTAGTGACGATGTGTATTTGTATCTGGGGACAGCAGTGTGGAGGGGAGAGGGGAACAAAAGACTGCGGAATGGATGTGCAAGTGTTTGTACACCTGTGACCTGACCTGAATAAACTTTGATAGGATCTGCCCTGAACTGCTGCACCTCCACAGGTTCTCATGAATGCACAACAACTCCTACAAGCTGCTGAGGAGGATCCTGACAATATTATTGGTATTGCTTCTCAGCACAGAGCTTGGCCCCTCCCACAATATATTACATTGATTTTTAAACTTATGGTGCATTTTTGATTACAGGAGTACATTGCATGATACTCCTGTATCATTGAGAAGCTAAAAATGCAAATAAGGTGTACCCCATAATTCTCCTTTTAAGTAAGGCCTATTTATTCTGGTATGCCAAACATTCAAACCTGAGGTGACTGCTGCATGATTTCATATGTTTTTTGTTTTCCTTTTTTGTGTGCTGGTTTTTTTATTTTGAGGAATGTGACTTTGTGCTTAAGGGGTGGTAACTAATGGGGTAGTATCTCTCCTCTACACCCAACAGAGCATTACTTCAAAGGTGAAGGAAAGACCCTTAATGAGAGGTTTGCAGAATATCAGAATGTCACAGAGGAGCGTGTAGGCCATCCAAAAAGTCCTGAGATACACAGGTATGTGATGTACCTATTCTCATTGAAGTGGTAATGAACTCAAAGTGAAGATTTACTATGGTATAGAGAACATACAAGTGTTAATTGTGTCTAAGCAGTACCCTGAAAATTTTAATTTTATCTTGAATTCCACCTAAAACATAGCAGAGTGTCTAGGCACTCTTGTGTCTTAAAGGAGAACTATGAGGCGAGTGAAAATCACTCAGCCTCATAGTTCTAGCCGACCTGTGACAATGAAACTGTCACATGTCGGCTCAATAGATCGGGAAGTGAGTGAATACATACCATCGCTCGCTCACTTCTTGATTCTGTCTCTGCAGGGAGCCGTGACTGTCGCTCATGGCTCCCTGCAAGCATACCTCCCCTGTCCGATCCTCCAGCGCTGAGTGGAGGAACGGACGGGGTAGGGGGCCGGTACAGCTGGCTCTGCCTCTAGATAGGCAGAGCCAGCTGTCACGCAGCTGGGTGGATCCAGACAGTAGAGTTGGGATCCGTCCCGGCTGCGGCGTCTCGGTATACCGCGAGCTGTAGCTCGCGGTATACTGAGCTTTGGGTGACGGGAGGAGGCTAGTTTGTGTCCTCCCGTTACTCTTAGGAGAACTATGGGGAAAAGCCCTGACCCCATAGTTCTCCTTTTAAGCCTCATAGCTGTATATTTGCACTGTGAGATCCAAGGCACTGCTGCCTTGGACTGCTAGTGTCAGGAGAACTGAAAGATTTGATGATCTAAATACTGTGTTGCTCACTGTTCTCCTTGCTGATGTGATGACGTAAATCCTGCCTTAACACAATGTCCACCATGCATATAGGATTGTAGTGACATATTTTGAGGATCCCAAATATTTTTTTTGGGTGTGAGGTGTTTTTGGAAGCACAGGAAGTAGTTTTAGATGTTTGTAAGGGTGTATTTTTTTTTTTTAAAGCTGGACTCCCAAGTATACAAAATACATTGATGGGAAATAGGCTAAATTGTGCTAAAAAGCTTATTCTAAAATGCTGATTTTTGGCTCCCTTGATTGTTTGTTTTTTGAATAATCTTCCTTTGAAAAATGCAGCAGTAGAGGCATGCACACATGTGAACTGCTTTAGTATCAGACTTAAAGTGTGCAGAAGAAATCTTTCGAAAAATGGGGTCACATCACCTGAGCTTCTACAGAAAAGCTATCGAATAACCATACTGTTTTGTAGTACTAAAAGCAGCCTTCTTGTGTACGTTAGACATACAC